AGGTAGAACTTATTCCCGAACAATCCCTATGGCTATTCATCACAGATACAGAAAGTGAAAGTCGAACCAGGAGCATTTGCCTCTTTCGACTCGATCCCCAAGAATCCCTATGGATATTCGGAGGAGGTTCATAGAGAAATTTACAGAAGCAAGGGCCCAGGCAGTGGTTTTGAGAGGGTTGAACTTATCCCCGACAATCCCTATGGCTATTCAACACAGATACAGAATGTGAAAGCCGGACCAGGAGCATTTGCAGCTGTCGATTCGATCCCCAAGAATCCCTACGGGTACTCAGAAGAAGTTCATGGAGACATTTACAGAAGCAGGGGTCCAGTCAGTGGTTTTGAGAAGGTAGAACTTATCCCCGACAATCCCTATGGCTATTCAGCACAGACACAGAAAGTGAAAGCCGGACCAGGAGCATTTGCAGCTGTCGATTCGATCCCCAAGAATCCCTACGGGTACTCAGAAGAAGTTCATGGAGACATTTACAGAAGCAGGGGTCCAGTCAGTGGTTTTGAGAAGGTAGAACTTATCCCCGACAATCCCTATGGCTATTCAGCACAGACACAGAAAGTGAAAGCCGGACCAGGAGCATTTGCAGCTGTCGATTCGATCCCCAAGAATCCCTACGGGTACTCAGAAGAAGTTCATGGAGACATTTACAGAAGCAGGGGTCCAGTCAGTGGTTTTGAGAAGGTAGAACTTATCCCCGACAATCCCTATGGCTATTCAGCACAGACACAGAAAGTGAAAGCCGGACCAGGAGCATTTGCAGCTGTCGATTCGATCCCCAAGAATCCCTACGGGTACTCAGAAAGAAGTTCATGGAGACATTTACAGAAGCAGGGGTCCAGTCAGTGGTTTTGAGAAGGTAGAACTTATCCCCGACAATCCCTATGGCTATTCAGCACAGACACAGAAAGTGAAAGCCGGACCAGGCATTTGCAGCTGTCGATTCGATCCCCAAGAATCCCTACGGGTACTCAGAAGAAGTTCATGGAGACATTTACAGAAGCAGGGGTCCAGTCAGTGGTTTTGAGAAGGTAGAACTTATCCCCGACAATCCCTATGGCTATTCAGCACAGACACAGAAAGTGAAAGCCGGACCAGGAGCATTTGCGTCTGTTGATTCGATTTCTAAGAATCCCTATGGATATTCAGAGGTGGTAGAGAGAGAAATCTATAGGAGCAAAGGGCCAGGGAGTGGATTTGAGAAGGTAGACCTTATTCCCAACAATCCATATGGCTATTCTAAGAAGACAGAGAAGGGGACAGCTGCTTCAGAAGCATTTGAATCTGTTGCGGCCATTGCCCAGAATCCATATGGGTTTTCAGAAAAAGTGCAGGGTGATATACGTACACAGAGAGCGCTCAGCAGTGGATTTGAGAACGTCAAAAGCATCCCAACAAACCCATACGGTTACTCCACAGAGGTCAAAGAGCTGAAAAAATCTCCAAGTGGCTTTGAGACTATCAGCTCTATTCCAAAGAACCCCTATGGATACTCGGAGCAAATTCAGGCCGACAATCAAAGAGCTAGATCTATAGGAAATGGATTTGTGAAAGTAGATGCAATCCCTAATAATCCATATGGATATTCTACAGAAATCAGGAATCTAAAGTGGTTTGAAGGAGGCTTCGTGAAAGTGGACTCCATTCCCGTGAATCCTTATGGCTATTCTGAGCAAATACAGGGAGACAACTTCAAGATGAGGAGTACTGGAAGTGGTTTTGAAAAGGTTGAGGCTATCCCTAATAATCCATACGGATATTCAACCGAAGCTAAGAAACTACAAGATCAACCTAGTGGATTCATAACTGTAAAATCAATCCCATCAAATCCATATGGTTATTCTGAAAAGATTGAAAGTTCCGCAAACCATGGCAAGAGCCTTCCTACTGGATTCTCAGAAGTTAAATCCATCCCCAGCAATCCATATGGATTCTCCACAGAAATCAAAGGGCTGACAAATGCACCATCTGGTTTTGAAGCTGTAGATGCTATTCCTAGAAATCCATATGGTTATTCTGGTGATATACGTTCTGATGTTCACACTCCTAAAGCTCGAACATCAGGATTTGTTTCTATTCAATCCATCCCCACCAACCCATATGGTTATTCTGAGAAAGTGGCAGACCTTAAATCTGCCCCAAGTGGATTTGAAGAAGTCGATTTTATTCCATCCATCCTTATGGATATTCAAACAGAATTCAATCAGAACAGCACAGAACCCCCACCTTAACTACTCCATTTGAAGAAGTATCGAGCATTCCCTCCAATCCATATGGATATTCAGAAAATATAAAAAAATATGAGAAATTCCCAAGTGGTTTCACGAAATCAGGAGAGATCCCCACCAATCCATACGGCTACAGTACCGAGGTGCAGCGAGAGCATTTCCCATCTAAAATGAGGGTATCAGGATTTGAACCAGTCAATGCTATACCAGCAAATCCATATGGTTACTCTGAAGATATCCTGAAGTACGGTGACAGAGAAGGCGCCTTCGAAAGGTTTGAATCTATCCCAATTAATCCATACGGGTTCTCTGAAAAAATAGATCCTCATTCACATTCGGCTCGGCGTCTTGTGAGTGGTTTCGACAACTTCGCCAGCATCCC